AATTTTTCTCTCCGTGTATTCCCAAAATTAGACATAATATGTATATTATGTATATGTCTTATAAGAGGCAAAGAATCAACTATTGCTCATTTTTTGGACTAAAATGGAGAATAACGACAATTTTAGAAAAATTGTCATATAATCGTAGTTAGCCAAGATATCCACAAGATCTCGAAAACGTCCCGAGGGATTACCTAACTGTTATTAGGGAGGGGTATTACCACTATCAAGCTCAACTGCCCTGTAAATGGAAATTTGAAATTTTGGAAAAAAAACATCTCTTTTTTTAACACCCTGTAGTATAATGCTATTTGCACAATATCGTATTCCCAAAATTAGACGTAAGTCAAAGAATCCACTATTGCTCATTTTTTGGACTAAACTGGGGAATAACAACAATGTTCGTAAAATTGGCATATATATATATTATTATTATTTGTAGTTAGCCAAGATATCTACAAAATATCGAAAACGTTCCGAGTGATTACCTAACTTATATTAGGAAGGGGTATTACGACTGTCAATTTCAACTGCCCTATAAATGGGAATAACTTGAAATTTCGGAAAAAATTACATCTCTTCGTTTAACACCCTGTAGTATAATTGTATGTGCAAAATATCGTATTCCCAAAATTAGACATAGAAGCCAAAGAATCAACTATTCAGAATATCCAAAGATTTTCAAAATCGATTCAGTAATTTTCCAATAACGAGCTTTCAAATATTTTCCAAAAAACTATAGTTGCACCTATAGGTACGTCGTTTTTTATGACGAGTATGAGTACAACTCTGTATTTGCAGGATAAGTGATTTTAAGAAAAACATGAAAAACCGCTCATAGGCAGTGCAGTAATGTACTTAAATAGGATAAAATATATATTTTTAAAAATTTGAGTACATTAGATGCAAAACTCGGTTTTTGCACATTTTTAAAAATATATATATATTTTTAAAAATATATATATTTTATGCTATTTATGTACATTACTGCACTGCCTACAGCATACCTAAGTAAACCAGATGTATAAGTTCGTATTTGTAGAATAAAATACATTTAAAAACTTAACGCAGATGCAAAACTGGGTATTTGTTTCTTCCTGTCGGATGCAAAACTCGGTATTTGCTGTTCACAAATCACGTCGCTAGTATACGCATTATGTGACGACATAACAATTACCTGATTAATTGTTATTTTTTGGTATTTGCATTGTTGCATTGTTGCATTTTTTGGTATTTGCATTTTTATTTTTTGGTATTTGCACTTTTCACTTGCAAAACTTGGTCTTTGAATGAGGAAGATGCAAAACTATGTTTTTAAATCTTTTGATTACAATTATTTACTAAAATACCTAATTTTAAAGGATTTTTTTTTACTTTTTTGAATAAAAATGATGCAAAAGCACGTCTATAGAATTTTTGCCTTTATTTTAAATGATCTTATGAGCGGTTTTTCATGTTTTTCTCAAAATCACTTATCCTGCAAATACAGAGTTGTGCATCTAATGTACTCATATATGGGGCAAAATTTGCCAAGTGTACCAGGTGAAAAAATTTTTGTCACCGATTTTGTTTAAACTTTACTTATTTGTTGTTCTTGTAACGAAGAATCATGGTATAAAATTTTTTTGCTCTAGGATTGTTCATTCAAGAGTTATTGATTATTGAAATTTATCGATTTTTTTAGTTTTTGGTGAAATCGCTTTTTATTTAAAAATTCATAACTTCTGTTCATCTCTTTATTAAATATTTCAATTTAACCTTCTAAATGATTTTTTCCGTACTTTTCAATGGGCTATACCGTTTTTGCAAAAAAATAAAAATTGCAATTTTTTTTGAAATTTTGCAAAATTTTGCATTTTTTAAAACAATGTGTATTTTTTAATTTTTTTTAAAATAGCATAAAATCCAAGTTTATTATGTTACCTTTGAATAAAAAAAAATTTAGAGTGGGCCCGACATGTAGAAGGGAAGTTTTTCATATTTGAATGCCGCACGGTCTAGCTACTACACTGCCGTATGCGTTTATACCTAGTGGATGCGAGTAAACGAATACAAAATGATAATTTAAAATGTAAAATTATGTTTAAGTAGTCAATGATATATTTTAAATATTTACACTGCCGCACGAATAGTTTTTTAACTGTATTTTTTTGCACAAATTGTTTAAGTATTGGTCTACATCACAGACCTACATAGATTTCGCAAGGAGGATCTATGATATTAAATAAAAAATTTATTGTTATAACCGTAACGGCTTGCCTATAAGCTGAATGGCGCCTTTACGGTTATAACAATACATTTTTTATCATCGACCCTCCTTGCGAAATCTATGTAGACTAGGGTGGAGTGAATTTTATTAAATTTAATAATTGATTTTTCCTATATTATTAATTGTTGACTAAAGGCGTAAAATGAATAATATCGAAAAAATATTCCAATTTTTCAATATCTTGAGGTGGCGCATCAGTCTCGAAGTTTTGAAAATTCTAAAAAAATATTACTTTAATCAAAGTAATAAAAATAGCATTATTTATAAATAAAAAATTTATTTTAGTAAAATTAACGTGAAACGTAAACATATTTAATAGTAAATCATATGCTTTAAGTAACTTCAGGAGTGTTTATTGGTAGAAATGAGATCTTCTTTTTCGCGAAAATACTGACATTTGGTATAAAAATTTGGTAATTATTTTCTGACTTTAATTCTTGTTCTGATGAAACCATCTCTTGCTTCCGATCCACAAACCGAGTCTGAAGATTCAGTATACTGGTTATAACCAGTTTTACACAGCGTTCCACTGCTTGGGTGTCACGACACGGAAATTTTTGGAAGTATAGGAAATGGTCACCCGAAGAAATCATATCGGTAATTTCTGTCATAGTATTTCATAGTCATAGGTGGTTCAGTTACCTTTTCTGTCGCCCAGTGAATTAACTGGTACAAACGTAATACTTCAGTATTTAGTCGTGGAAGCTTTAATTCCCGTAATCTCGAACATTTTGATTCTTTTCTCGCCTTTAATATTTTAGGCAATGCTAGTTCTCTGATCGATATATATATTGTAGGTAACATAGCAAGTAATAGGTTTTCGGGATAAATATTTCGCTGAATATTCTTTATAACTATAGTTATAAGGCCTTCAAGTTTTTCTGGAGATGTAATGCTCTTTTAGTCATATTAAATATGTGAATAGGACCATGTTTGCACGTAGGCTTGGTGTTGATGTAAAACCACGTTGGGGCATACACTTTCATGATAAAAGTAGCCAATTCTTTTAGGTTTTCCGATGGATTTGCTGTCCCCCCATATAAACGAATAATCCTATTAGCCCACGTCAGCCATATGGAATGTGCTAGCTTGCCTGGATCTTTGTAAGCTATAGCTAATATTTATCCCGAAAACCTATTACTTGCTATGTTACCTACAATATATCCATCGATCAGAGAACTAGCATTGCCGAAAATATTAAAGGCGAGAAAAGAATCAAAATGTTCGAGATTACGGGAATTAAAGCTTCCACAACTAAATACTGAAGCATTACGTTTGTACCAGTTAATTCACTGGGCGACAAAAAAGGTGACTGAACCACCTATGACTATGAAATACGATGACAGAAATTAACGATATGATTTCTTCGGTTGACCATTTCCTATACTTCCAAAAATTTCAGTGTCACACCCAAGCAGTGGAACGCTGTGTAAAACTGGTTATAACCAGTATACTGAATCTTCAGTCTCGGTTTGTGGATCGGAAGCAAGAAATGGTTTCATCAGAACAAGAATTAACGTCAGAAAATAATTACCAAATTTTGATACCAAATGTCAGTATTTTCGCGAAAAAGAAGATCTCATTTCTACCAATAAACACTCCTGAAGTTACTTAAAGCATATGATTTACTATTAAATATGTTTACGTTTCACGTTAATTTTACTAAAAGAAACTTTTTATTTATAAATAATGCTATTTTTATTACTTTGATTAAAGTAATATTTTTTTAGAATTTTCAAAACTTCGAGACAGATGCGCCACCTCAAGATATTAAAAAATTGGAATATTTTTTCGATATTTATTTATTTTACGCCTTTAGTCAACAATTAATAATATAGGAAAAATCAATTAATAAATTTAAAAAAATTCACTCCACCCTAATGTAGACCCATGTTTAAACAATTTGTGCAAAAAAAATACAGTTTATATACAAAAGTGCTCTTTTAGTTCCACCCTTACTTCGTAAGAAGTCCCATAAGCCAACTGAATGGCTTGTGCGGGTTAGGGGTAGGAACGGACCGCGGGCTTAAAGTCCCCTCCGAAGGACTAATACACAATAAAAAAAACTATATCGTTAAAATACATCATTGACTACTGAAACATAATTTTACATTTTAAATTATCATTTTGTATTCGTTTACTCGCATCTACTAGGTATAAACGCATACGGCAGTGTAGACCGTGCGGCATTCAAATATGAAAAACTTCCCTTCTACATGTCGGGCCCACTCTAAATTTTTTTTTTATTCAAAGGTTACATAATAAACTTGTATTTTATGCTATTTAAAAAAAAATAAAAAATACACATTGTTTCAAAAAATGCAAAATTTTGCAAAATTTCAAAAAAAATTGCAATTTTTATTTTTTTGCAAAAACGGTATAGCCCATTGAAAAGTACGGAAAAAATCATTTAAGGTGGTTAAATTGAAATATTTAATAAAGAGATAAACAGAAGTTATGAATTTTTAAATAAAAAGCGATTTCACCAAAAAGTAATAAATCGATAAATTTCAATAATCCATAACTCTTGAATGAACAATCCTAGAGCAAAAAAATTTTATGCTATGATTCTTCGTTATAAGAACAACAAATAAGTAAAGTTTAAACAAAATCGGTGACAAAAATTTTTTCACCTGGTACACTTGGCAAATTTTGCCCCATATATATATATATATATATGTGTTGTATTTTTAAAGTGCATGCTTAAGTTACTAAAACCCTTTAATAGACGTTCTAAATGTCAAACTGACAAAGTTTTATTTTTTGAAATGTGTATTACATTATTTTGTCTATTATTTATAACATTTACAATAAGTGATGTATTTTCACAAGACCTCTTACATGGTGAATGCAAAAATCCAGACTATGTTCCAAAAGATTCCTTCCAGTTAGCTTTCGAAGAAAAACGTGATCTAAACCCGTTCGTTTTCACCAATAATTTGGTACCGGAAGCTCTGAAATTAGATCTTAAATCAGAAGATACCCCTTCGGCTAACGATGACAATGTTAAAGTAGCAGTAGGTAGAAATTTCTACGATATGGTGGTAAACAATGGTAAGGACACCATAGTCGCCTTGTACGCCCCCTGGTGCAAGTACTGTCAAGCCTTGTTGCCTCAATTCGATAACCTAGCAGATATGCTGAAGAATGAAAACGTAGCAGTGGTAAAAATGGACGCATCCAAAAACGAAGTACCTGCTAATTATGATGTGCCGAGTTACCCTACCATTTACTGGGCGTCTAGGGATAGTAAATATTTTCCAAAAAAGTACGAAGGTCCCAGAACTGCGCAGGCAATGTTAAAATTTATCGCGCTACATTCAACCCACGAACTTAAAACTTACGATAGACGGGGTAGTCTTAAGTCCATGTCAATTTATAATGTTGGTTCCCAAAATATTGATAAAATTGTTAGTAATAAAGTAATTTAGCAAAACAGTCATATTATTAATTCATTAAATTTACACATTAGCGACTTTTCCGAAAAACGGATTGGGGGTTGCCAAAAGCAATCGGCGCAGGGTAAAAAAGTTGTATAATTATCACGTAATTAATAAAAGGGGCTGATAATTGAAGTGACTTACAGTGATTTTCTGTGAAAAAGAGCATGTAGCGAGTCAAAAACACGTATTTAATAGACGTAGAATTTGAAAGTGAAGTGAAAAAGCTTGAATTATGAAAAACAACGTCATAAATTGCGGAAAATGCAATTTTTAAAATCAGGTAATTTGAGGTTATGCAGGTTCACAATCCAGCCTGCCCATAGATATTATACCTCTATTGCTCAATGGGACGGGGGGGGGGGTCAATGGGGCGGGGTCGGTTTGGTTGGGTTGTTAAGTTTGGGTTGGTTTCGCTCACCTTTGCCCATTTTAGTGTACCTGCATAACCAAGATGACAGCTAATCTTCATAACCTCAAATTACCTGATTTTAAAAATTGCATTTTCCTCAATTCATGACGTTGTTTTTCATAATTCACGCTTTTTCACTATTCAAATTCTACGTCTATTAGATACGTGTTTTTGGCTAGCTGCATGTTCTTTTTCACAGAAAATCACGGTAAGTCACTTCAATTATCAGCCCCTTTTTTTATTAAATACGCGATAATTATACAACTTTTTCACCCTGCGCCGATTGTTTATGCACTTTTACATCCCTCCACACCTATTTTTGGCATTTTGGCAACTTTCCTGCCGTTTTTCGGAAAAGTCGCTAAAGTGAAAATTTACCATTTTTTCTCTGTGATGCTTGTAGATACTTAATAAAGGTGAATGCAAAAATCCGTATTATATTCCAAAAGATGCAACAAAAAAGATATCTGAACTCCAATAAATTTGTATCAAAAACCGTTAATAAATTAAACCACAAATCAGAAGTCGCTTTATTGGAACACAATGGTTATACTTAGGTAAGGTCGCACATACAATTACTTTTTATGATAAGGTAATGAACAATGACAAGGACACCATAGTCGCCTTATGCCATTTTGAGACTCTTGCGAAAATGCTGAAAAACATTTCGATGGTCAAGATGGACGCCACAAAAAACAAGGCACCAGCTAATTACGATGTACCAAGTTTTCCAACCATTTACTGGGCTTCCAAAGATCAGAAATATTCACCGATAAAGTACGATGGTCCTACAACTGTAGAGAGAAGTATTTTTAATGCTTTCCAAAATTTTATTAAAATCAAATTTTATTAAAATAAAACCAAATTTTATTTGCAAAAACGATCTTATTATGTTTTAAAAATGACTACTTTAATAGTTATTAATGGCTGCGTTTTCACTTGGAATACCATGGTATCCCAAAAATTAAAAAATAGAACAGTTTTTGAGATATAGTCAATTTTCCATTTAATATAAAATTGACTATATTCCAAAAACTGCTCCACTTTCGTAATTTTTGACGGTATTTTAGGATTCAGGGGACAATTTTACATAATAGTTGGCTGTTAAATTTTTATTTAAAATTGTCCCCTGAATCCGAAAATACCGTGTAAAATTATGAATTTGGAGAAGTTTTTGAGATATAGTCAATTCCATATTAAATGGAAAATTGACTATATCTCAAAAACTTTTTTAACTTTTCACGACATTTTCGGATTCAGGGGACAATTTTACATAAGAATTGGCTGTTAAGTTTTAGGATAACATGGTATTCCATGGTTAACCATGGTACAAGTGAAAAAGCAGCCACTAATAATTATTAAATTAATCATTTTTGACTAATTAATTTTTAGAGTTAAAATATTATTAAGAAAATGTATAGACATATATAACTTATGCAGTGGCGCCCCGATTATAAATCCGCTTGACAATCGACAGACCCGAGTTCAAACCCTGGATGGATCAAAACTTTTTTAAATTTAAATCTACTAATTTTACTATTTTATTCAGTTGAATTTTAGTAATTATTAGTGACTGCTTTTTTGTTACGACAATTAGTCAAATATGAGTATGAGTATGAGTATGAGTATAAGAGACGTATAACCAGCCCCATTTCCTCTTGACTCTCGAACCCCGTACAGGCCTATGTTTACTTACGCCGATTTTTGTTCTTCCCCAGCAACTGCACGGCTTCACCCGTGTTTGCTGGGTGCGAATGTCCATTGCGTTCCGTTCTGTCCCCTATTTGGGGCTCGAGAGCGAGAGGCGAATAGTTATAATAGCCATTCCCGGGTTCGCCGAGCCTATGCTATACGCTCAGTGGGGTATGGAGGAGGGACGGGAGGGTGTTGGTTTTTGGGGGACAATTACGCCGACTTAAAACTAAGTACGACGCGAAATCCCCCTAGACCAGTCGATTAGTATTACTCCAAACATTTGGAGTTGAGGAGTTGTTATTTCGCTGCAGGGGTGTAGTCTCCTAGTCGAGGTCTTTGACTTGTTCGTTATTGTCACCGTCCGTGTCCTGGTCAGATAGTTCCTGCCCTTGGTAAAGTGTGTCAGTTGTTTTTAATAGTTTTTGTCCCAAGCACGTTTTGTGGCAGAGTTCCGTCTTTGTTTATCAAATTCCAAAGCATTGCATTTATTCACTAGTCAAACAAATCACAAGCGCGATTATTCTGTTGTCTAATGTTTACGAATCTCGAGTTTGGCTATTAGGCCCTTTTTTTTAATGTGTTAGAATTATGTGATCAATGTTAGTTTACTCTGTCAGTCCAGTGTTTATTTTCGGTCTCGATTGGGACCGCCTTACGCATTTGCTGTTGACAGACTTATTGCCCCACACTGCGTGCCCTTCATAGGTTTTAAAGATATCCCAATAAACACTTTAACGATACCTATCACCATTAACATTGCCCGTGTAAGAATTTTTAACACTTTTTAATACAATTTTGCAATGATAGTAATTAAAAACAAAACAATTGTTTAAAGAGTAAAATATGATCTTAACATAATCATATTTTAAAGTTATTTTAACATTTCAAGTAAAATAATGTTATGTTTAATAAAATGAATACGGGCAATGTTAATGGTGACAAATACTTTTTTTTCAAATTTAATTTAAAACTAGCTTAATACAAAATAAATAGCCGGCCCTGTGGTGCATCGCATTAAAATCTGAAACGGCCCCGGTATCAGGCGTGTAACGTATGCTTCAATAGATGGTTTATTTACGTTGTGTTATTGCGTGGGCGCTTTGTTTATTTACCTTCCTTTAAGCTTTGCCTTGTTGCTGAGTTGCAAGTCGCGTATATTATACAATATATATAATACAATAATATAATATTGCAGCGTTCCTGCTTGATTCCTTTTCGCACACTTACGCTGTTTTCGGCAATGGTTAATTGTTGCCAGTTTTTTTTTTTTACAGATTTGCGTATTAGGTCATGCAATAATACTTATCAGAGTCGGCTGGTGATGGTGATGGTGATGATCCCTTTCGCTCTTTGTTAGACTTGTTTTTTTCTTTAAATAGGTGATTCCTTGACCTGTCCCCTGTCACTTTATTACTTCGTGTCCGCACGAACCTCACTCCTATGTTCACCGTTGAGAGATTGCCTTTTGAGGAATTATTTAATGTTTCTATTAACCCCTCGGAGAACAGGTACCCTGATTTCACCTGTACCGTTATGTATACATACTATAGTCATCTAAATAGTAGCACTGTTTCGCACCGTACTTTACTCGACTACACTGTATATAATAGTTATGTTTCTTTAAGAATTTTATTGTGGATCGGCACCGAGCGCTCGAACATCCGCTCGCTTCGCTGGTATCGACAGTGACGACAATTAGTCAAATATGACTAATTTATTTTTATTTATTTTTTGCCTCTTCGCCTAAAACTAATATAAAAACAGTATTTTATTATCGTAAGATGGCTAACTTAGTTTATATGAATGTAATACAATATTTTACCCTTTGTCAATCAAAAATTGTTGAAAGCAAAAAAGCTTAGGATAATTTTCTTGACAACTGGCGGTAATATAGTACAGTCATCTTAGTCAAAAAAAGGGATCAACCTCGGAATCTAACGGAATAAGCTGAATTTTTGTTACAACCTTTATTTTAGCATTATAAATGTTGTCTCAAAAGTTCAAGGTCAAAGGTCGCAAAAATCAGTTTTTTAAGAATATCTCGTTTTCTCTGCCTCCTATCGTATTTGCATCTATTATAAAAGTTGTAGAGAATAAAATTCTCTACAAATTTTGTTCTCAAAATTTTTTTATACGTCGAACCGTTTTTGAGATAGAGGGCGCAGAGTGTGGAGCGCTCAGCCATACGTACCTTTAGCGCAAGGTAAATCGTGAATCCCAATCTATTATACCGTTTTTTAATTAATTTTATAATAAATATTACTAAGAAAAAATGTAATACCTTATACTATTTATATTTCTTTTAAATCAAATATATTTTATCTTCATATATATCTTATATTTTAATTCAATTTTAATGAAGGATAATTGGATCGGAGTAGGAAAAAATGTTTTTATTTATATCAATATTATTATTATTATTAGTATTAATCTTTATCTTCTTCATCCTCGTCTTCTTCAGGTTGGCCAGCAATTTCAGAGAATGTCATCATCACTCTCCTCGTTATCATTGACATTAATTGTCATATCTTCAAAAACTTACTTATAACGCGTTTGTACTGCAGATTTTTTTGGCTTTTTTGCCTCATCTGCGACTTCACCACAAAATAAGCACAATATTTTAAAATCAAACACATCATTCCCTTTTTTACGAGGTACAGTTGATGACGTTGAAGGTCCAGTCTCTTCAAGGCGACGTTTTGCTGCTGCAATTTTACTATATTACGCTATAGCGTACAATTTTCGACACTCATTATGAACGTTCACAGAAGTCAAAGTCAAAGACTTAAAAAACATTGAAAAACCGAAAAACTACACGAAGAAAGTTCTAAAAAAATGGATGTGCAATAACACAAATAAACTCCTAAAGCTTAATTTTATAGACA